TTCTTCTTCTTCTTCTTCTTCTTCTTCTTCTTCTTCTTTTTTTGAGACAGAGTTTCTCTGTATAGCTGTCCTGGAACTCAATTCTGTAGCCCAGGCTGGCCTTGAACTCACAGAGATCCGCCTGCCTCTGCCCCCTGAGTGCTGGGATAAAAGGTGTGCATCACCACTGCCTGGCTTCCTTGTCTGGTTTCCATGCCTTACGTGTCTCTCCACTCTGAGAGCATCCTAGCCAGCCTTGACTCCCTCTGTAGCCTCATGGAGGCTGAAAAGGATGACCTAGTTTCTGTGCCTTCTTTCCATGTCCCTCTGGACCTCTGTAGGCCTTGGACCTAGAGGGATCTCCATGTGTCCCCGTCCTCATCAGGACAACCTAGACACACGCCCAGTGTTCGAGAGTGGTGCCTCCCAGAAGTTCCTGTCTGGTCCCCTGCCTGTGTGCCACCTGCCTGGGTTCAGAGAACAGTTGTCACTGGGGACCACCCTGCCTATATCCTCGCCTCAAGTAGTTGTTCCCAGCATGTTAGAACAGACTTTGGCCTTGGTCTGCATGAGTCAGCCACCCCCCCCACCTCCCCACCCCCAGCAACCTACAGGTCTGGAAAATCCCCCTCTCAGCTTGGCTCCTTCCTCACTGGCTCAGATCTCCCTCTAGCCTGCTGGAGTGCTCCTGTTCCTCTGGGAGGAAGCAGGGCTCCCTCATGGCCGGAGACTGGCTACAGGGCAGGAAGCCTGGGTTCTATTTCTGCCTCTGACCTTGGAGCTACCCATGGCCCTCCTTAGGACTTAAGGAACACACTGCACAAGCCAGGCTGCTGCCGGCCCAGCACCCCCCTGGGCCACTCAGGGAGCTGGGCCACTCGGGTTGGGGATGAAGTCTGGGCGGCCCTGGGCATTCTGGTACTGCTGTCTGCTTGGTCCTTGTGCGGGCCTCCATGAGGTCAAGCCCAGCGCTCCAGCCTTGCCTGGTTAGCACAGAGCTTGGAGCAGAGGTCAGCCCCACTGACCTAGGCAAGGCCTTCCTTCCCCACTGGCCTTGACTGTCTCGGTGTGAGGGCCGCACACCATTGCCCCACTACCCCAGGAGCGTTCTGAGCTGTAGTTCTCTGGGTGAAGTGCGTGTGCTTAGAGGAGCTCTGAGGGAGAGTCCTGGGGTCCTCAGCACCCAGTGGTCAAAGTCCAGGTCTGGGAGCCACACCACCAGACCCTTCAGCTCCTGCAGCTAAACCCATCTTTCTCTGTCCCATTCCTGGTGTGCAGGGAACACTGTGAGCGGGGGAGCGCTGTCTCTGACTATCCCAAGCAAAGACTAGGCTGGCCAGCTCCCAGTTTCTTCTATCATCCGGCGTCCAGCCCCACACTGCTTTTTTCCAGAGCCTCTTTCCCTCTGGCTCCATCTCCCCTCCCAGATGTGAAACACATCTGCCTTGGGATGGACAGCCTTTTGCAAATGCAGTCTCTGCCCCTGACTGCCTGGCCTGTCGCTGCGGGCCCTGGCTGCCCCTGCTGGCCCTGACTGCCCCTGGATACTCAGATCCCGGGGAGGGAGCTACAAGCAACAGCAGCTGGCGTGTACAGCCTGGGTTTCTGGGGCTGGGGGGCTTCTGACTCAGTGCCCCGCACTCTTGGCCTTCCTGCAGATGTGTGTTCCTGGCGTGTTTTTCCCTGTTGAATTTCACTTTGCTATTTCCTGTCCAGTTCCAGGCTCTACTCCCCCACCCCCTTCCTCCCTACAAAGCTCTGGACCTTGCTTCCAGACAGCAGCGTCTGAGTGGTGCCAGGAATCTGCGCCTCGAGCTTCGCCTCGGTAGCCTTGCTCACATGGGCACTGGGAGGGTGTGAGCATGGCATAGTGACTCTTCTCACCTGGAGAGGACCCGAGTACGTCCTCTTTCAAACCTCCTGCCCCAAATCAGTGCCCCCACATGAACCCTTGCCTCTTAGTCCCCTTGCGTCAATCAAGGCCTGTTCAAGACTCACCCTCCAGCCACCCCTACCCCCAGGCAGGGAAGGAGGCAGAGCCTCTCTGGTCCTGTTAATGACTGTGAGAGTCCCCTGGATGTGCACAAGTCTGTCAGACCTGGGATGAGAAGCTACCTTGGGCTCTGAGAAGGGGCCAGGAATCTTTTTTTTTTTTTTCTCACAAGCCCCTGAGGGTGTTTTTGCTTTGTTTTGTGTTTTGGTGATGGTGGTACTTGGGATCAAATCCAGGGCCTTGCACATATGAGCTCTGTTGATGAACTACTGAGACATACCCTAGCCTTTGGTTTTTGGTTTTGGATTTTTGTTTGTTGTCGTTGTTGTTTTGGGACACGCTCTCAATAAGGCTCAGGCTGCCCTTGAACTCATGACCTTCTTGCTTTGGCCCCTTGAGTGTTGGTATTATAGGCATATGCCACTATGTTCAGCTACTGGTTCTGAAGATTCTGAAGCCACATACCTGCGTGCATAGGACATAGACCGCAAGTCCTTTGGCTGCCATTCCAGGCAGGGCTAGGCCTTTGTGGTGGGAGAGAAGGATCAGCTGGCGGCACCGCTCTTCGGCTGCGAGGACAGAGCAGTAGGCCTTACCAGGATGTCCAGTGAAGGCAGTGCACCTCAGCCTGGCAGACACAACGTGATCCAGTGGTGCTCAGTCCCTGAACCCGGGAATTCTCAGCCCGGGGGTGGGGGTGAAGGTGGGGGGTTGGGGGAGGAGATCTACACATAGGTCGGTGGGTTGGATCACAGCTGCTATCTCTTACTCATGTGTTCAAGGATTGCTTGTGTGTGCTGAGAAAGCAGAGCTGAGGCAGTCACTGCCCTGTCTTCAGGTTGCTTCTGTCTAGTGGTCCGGTGTGAGCCCGCCAGGGTCCAGGACCTGGCCAGGGCAGAGGTGGCTGTGAAAGGCAGGGAGTCTGCAGATCTCTTTAGAACTTTCTTTCTTGTCTTCCTTGTGATGCACAAGTGACTCAGAGTAAAATGGACTTGCTTCAAGCATACAGGTCAATCATGTATGTGAGCCTGACACATACACTGGAACATTCTCCCCAATATGTCATGAGTCCCTTCTGACCCACCTGTCTAGTTCACAGCCCAGGCAAATTGCTGATCTGGCCTCCTGTCAGTGTACAGGGTACCCTCTCCCACCCAAGTCCTCGTAAGTGGACACATGATCCCTGGGTCTTTCTTATTATCTGCTGCCTGTGGCTGTGCGCAGGAACTGAGGGTCATTCTAATGGATTACAGGTATGAGCCGCTATTCCTGGCCAACCGTGCCTTTTTGTTACTGGGCACTTAGAGGGACAATGCCTAGGAGACAGATGTAGAGGGTAATAAGGGTTGGTCCACAAACCAGGGCAGGAAGGACATTACGGCAGAGGGCCCCGGAGCATCAGGCATGGGCGGTGTGGGCTGTAGAACTGCAGTTTTCCCTCGGCTTGGACCTCGCTACCTGGTGTAGCTGTTCGATTTTCACAGGAAACTGAGTCCCTTCTGTCCAGTCCAGGCTGCTCAGACACCGCTGAGCCCCGGTAGTGCCTGAGGCCTTTTCCCCAGGGATTCTGGACTGTTCCGGGGCTGTAGAATATTGTGTTCCTGTGCCTGGGGCCTCTTGGCCTTTGGGCTCCCTGGGTGGTTTTCCCTTTGGTTACCTGGACAACGCCTTTAAAAACATCTTGACATTGTCCAAATGGATGCTAGCATTCACTGTCCACTGCCCTGTCTTGGAAAAGCCTGGGTCCTGGTGCTCTTGCTTGGCCTGTGTGCTTCACACAGCCTCGCTCCCCTCCTCCCCCTGTACCCCCAGCTTTTCCAGGACAGATGCCTCAAATCCAGCTGAGCTTAGCATTAGCCTGAGGTCATGGGGAGTTGATGTCTGTCTCGCCTCCATGTAGACTAGCGGTGGGACTCTTAAGTGTTCTGAGCAGTGGAATGTGCTGCCTGCAGCCAGGCTTGGACTCCAGACCTGGTGAAGGAGGCCAAGGGCCTGAGGAGGAACTGTTATAGATGAATCCCCCCACTTCTGCCTATGTCCTCTCCACACGTCAACTGGCCACACTCCTCTACCCGCTTATGTCTCTTATCTCTGCTGACCCAGGTCACCTCATACCTACCTGTGTGTCCCCTTGCCCACTCTCACGTCCTAGGTGACCCTTACTTCTCCAAAGAAAAGGAAGCCACCGTTTTTACAAAGTGATCTTCCTTTTACTGTGCACTTTACCTACTGAGTTCTTGAGAATCTGCACATTGGGCTCTGAGGCCTCCAGAAGTTGGTGGGATTTGGGGAAGCTGAGTCCCAAAGAATGGTTCAGGCTCCTCCTGGCTGTGTTAGCCATAGTGAGTCTAACGACCCTGTGGAGCTTTGGCATGGATTGTTGGGTCCCCTCTGAATTGAGGAGAAGGGCCTTGGGGTTTGGCAGTTAACTGGAGAAGGTGACTCATAGCCTGTCATCTCCTATAGGTGACGCACAGTCTGAGGGCCTATGATGACCTTTCCCTGCCTGAGGACACAGAGACTGTCACAGCTGGCTGGACTGGCTGGCCCCATTCTTACCTCTCTGATGATGAGGACCTGCTGGCTGATGACGCATCAGGAGGTAAGCCAGGGGTCTCCCTGGAGGGAGGGCTTCCAGAAACAGTCCTGACTCCTCCTATCAGAGCTTATGAAGGTCCTGTGAAATTACCAAGGTGGGACCTTAAAAGATGGGCCATGAATTGAGTATGGTGGTACTCATCTAATTAATTCTTGAACTTGGGAGATGGAGGCAGGAAGATCAAGAGTTCAAGGCTAGCTTCTGTAATGTATGAGTTCAAGGCCAACCTAACATAAATGAGACCTTGTCCAAAACAAACCAAAAACAACTACTACCAACACACACACACACACACACACACACACACACACACACACACACACACACACACACACACACGACAAGGGCTGGGAGATGGTTCAGTGGGTAAAGGTGCTTGCCGCCAAGTCTCCAAGTCTCACGACCTCAGTTCAATCCTCAGAACCCACGTGATAGAAGGAAGGAACCAACTAGAGCCTCCACGTACTCTCTGCGGCACATACACGCCCACTAAACAGACAAACAACTAAGCAAATAAGTATACATTTTTTTAAAGCAACCAACAAAAAAGATGTGGATATGTATGTCCAGTACCCTGGTCTCATGGTCCCAGTATCCCCTACTTGCAATCTCTGTGACTCCGGGCTGGCCTCCTCTCCTCTCCGCTGCCTGCGTCCTTTGAGACCAATGGGGAGATGGCTGACAGTGCACAGTAGGGGCCCCTGCCCACCCCTCCAGCTCCCCTTCTCCTTGTCCCTGCTTGGAGGTCAGGCTGACCTGGCTCCTCTGACCCATCAGACAGATGGCCCTTGGAATTTGGGGCCTCCGTCCACACCCTATGGTGGAGGCCTTCAAGCCAAGTAGGCATGGGGTGGGAGCGGGATAGCTATTCTGTATTGGAATGACCCTTCAGCCCTGGGTCAGGAGCCTACAGCAGTGCCTTGTACTATGCTCAGTGGGTATTTGCTGCTGAACTACGTCTCCCTTTTCTGTGCAGATGGCCTGGGCAGCGGAGACCTGGGCAGCGGGGACTTCCAGATGGGTAAGTTGCTGACGGAAGGCCCATAGCAGAGAGGCCCCATCTCTTGGCTGAGGGCCTAAGGGTCCTGAGAGATGGTCCTGTGGGGACGGTCCTTTTCCTGCTGATGGGCAACCTGCGAGGTTGGGAATGGGCAAGTTTGGCCGTTTTCCTGTGTTACCAGCCCAAAACTCACCACAGTCACCACAAGAAGCTCAGTTCTGATTGGAACAGAAAGCTGGCCTGCCTGCCTCTCAGTGTTCAAAGTAGTTAGGTATCTTTCAGGACTGAGGTCATTTTCCCTCAGTTGGTGTAGCAGGAGCATCCACTACGCCCACGTGTCTGAGGGTGGCATCCCACCTGGGCCACTGTGTGCAAGGCTGGCCCCTGGCAGCCTGGCCACCTGTGATCTCATGGCACCCGGATGTGCCTGCTGCCTGAAGTTTTCCTACACATAGGTCTTTGCAGGGCCACAGGATGGCTGACACCTGGCTGGGGACAGAAATGGTGGTGTTGGGTGGTTGTGTAGACACGAGCCACATCCCAGAGTAGCCTGGGCTGATGTCCCCTGGAAATGGCCTCCTGTCGAGGCTTTGGCCTAGCTAGTTCAGTGGTTCTCAACCTGTGGGTCACAAGCCCTTTGGGGTTGCATCTCGGCTACCCTGCATATCAGACATTTCACATTACGATCCATAGCAGTGGCAAAATTGCAGTTATGGAGAAGCAACAAAATAATTTCATCGTTGGGCGGTCACCATAACATGAGGAACCGTATTAAAGGGTCACAGCATTAGGAAGATTGAGAACCACTGATCTAGTTCCTTCCAGAGCACCCGTGGCCTGCCTGGGGGATGCCTTCTGCACTGTATCTCCTTTCAATGCTCCTTGGCATCTCCTGAGATGCTGGAGTGAGGGCCGGCAAGGCCAGAAGTGGGGGAAAGAAGGAAACAGGACAGCTACTGGTAGGTTCCAATCCCAGGGATTGATCTCTCCTTTGTAGGGGAGGGCAGGGCCTGAACTCTGCAGTCCCAGATGTGCACAGCTGCCTGCCCTTGAGATGTGGCCATCCAGCTGGGCTCAGTCCCAGCCGGGGAGGGACAGGTGTGCAGCACATGGGCTTGCTCAGGACCTGCACCCCTCCAGTGCAGGCAAGGACTCTGGTAGGGCCATGTTGCGTTGTCCTCCTTGACTTGACACTAGTGCCCAGCCTGAGATGTCCCTTGCAGACAGGCAGGACTGTCTGTCCAGCTCCTCCCAGCTTCATCCGGACCCCACTCTTCATGGGCCACCCCTGGATCCGCCTCAGTCCTCTCCTTTCCCTTCTAGCCGCTAACCTGCCCATCAGCCTTTCCCCGCATCTTGGGTCCTGCTCTGTTTCTCCATCTCTGTGGAAACTTCTGTCCACTTCCTCCTTCCCCCCCCAACTCCGCCTTTATCACTGTGTCTTCCTTCTCCCTCTCCCTTTCTTCTCCCCATCTTTGCCAATGCCCAGACGCTTCTCTGCCACCTCCCCACTCTGCTCTCCGTGTGTCCCTTCCCCAAGGTCTCTGGTTCTCTGTCTCCTTTGCCGTGCCTACACTTCCTGTCCGTCCGTCCGTCCATCCATCTGTCTGTCATTGTTCTGCAGACCTCCCTCCCAACTCACCCTTGACATTCAGTCTTCGGTTTTTTGTTTTTGTTTTTTTCTTCCCTGTGTTCCTCTGCCTAGCCCACCTTGGGGAAGGGACACACAGGAAGCCAGAGGCACCTCTCTGAAGAGTCAAGGCCAGGCGATCCCTGTGCCTCCCCAGCAGGGCTCCAGATTGGAACAGGGTGCTAGGACCCTGCTATTGTCCTTCTAGGATGCAGCCAGACTCTAGAGTTGGGAGCAGCTTGTCTCAACCTCAGTGCAGACTGGTTTGCGCCCACCCAAGGGACCCCAAACTGGAGACACAGCCCAGTCATGATGAGGAGTCTGCTGAGCAGGAATGGGTGTTTGGAGCTGGGGTGGCCCAATAGGGGCTAAGGGTGTGTGCCTCCCGCTCACACCAGGACTCAATGCAGCTTAATCCTCCTCTGCTCCAGCCTCCTATCTCAGTGAAGGCTTTAGCCGGGGTCAGAGGCCAGGTGGAGAAGGTCTGGTCAGGGCAGATGCCCAGAGCACCCCCTCCCCCAGGCAGCCTCACAATTCCAGCAATCTCAGTCCCTCAGGCTCTGGGTGAGGTCTCAGCTCAGGCTAATGACCCACCCAGGGTGCTCACCCCGGCTCGCCTCTGCTTTGGGACAAGGAAAGGGGTCAGGCTGGAGGACTCCAGCCCTTCCCAGGCCCTGGTAGAAAGGGGCTTTGTGGTACTCTAACACTCCTCGGGAGTGGGCACATTCCTGGGCAGAGGCCCGGCCTCCTCACCCGAACTTGGCCGTGGGCTGAGGCCAGGGGCCGGGGTGGGGGCTCTCAATGGGCCTCTGTGCCTGCACACAAGAGGCCTCTGTGGTGGAGCTCACAGCCCCACACTCCGCCCACAAGCTCCACCTACTCAGCACCCAGGAGTCCAGCCCCACCATTGGCTGTGGTTCAGAGCAGACACAGTATCCCCTCACAGTGTAGGATCCCCGCCAGCACCTGGCCAGGGACCCCAAGGACCCTCTTAGCTTGAGCTGTAGAGGAAGAACACCCTGGCTTGGGGTCTGCACACCTATAGGCCTGCAGGCTAGAGAGTACAGTAAAAGGCACCCCCACTGTGTCACATACATCCTGACCAGATGTCACATGTACTAACCCCAGGGCCTTTGCACTTATCAGTTCCTCTGTGCACAGTGCTCTTCTCACGGACACTACAAATGGCTCTCCCCTTTCCTTCAAAGAGACTCCTTCCCTGAACCCCCATGGAGAACGGTACCCTCCCCACCCTGCCCTCTCCCCAGGTCCCATTCCCTATAGTCCACCCATGCTTACCCATTTGATTTATTTCTTTTTTCCGCCTACTAGAAGATGATCTTCCTGGGGATGGGAATTTACATCTGTAGAGTCCATCACTGTACCCCTGCCCCAGAACACCACCTGGCACACAGTAGACCCTGGACAGTGCTCCTCTAGTCTAGGGCTGGGCCTAGGACTTGTCCTAAAGACCCGAATTAATAGTCACTGTCAAGCCGGGCGGTGGTGGCGCACGCCTTTAATCCCAGCACTCGGGAGGCAGAGGCAGGCGGATCTCTGTGAGTTCGAGGCCAGCCTGGGCTACCAAGTGAGTTCCAGGAAAGGCGCAAAGCTATACAGAGAAACCCTGTCTCGAAAAACCAAAAAAAAAAAAAAAAATAGTCACTGTCAACCCTGCTGCCTTGCTGTGTTCCAGGTACCATGTGGATCCTCACAGCAGCCCTTGGGGAGGCACTGTTGGCCTCAGGGTATAGATGCAACATTCGAGCTCAGAAATGTCACAGGCCATTAGTGGCCATTCTGCTCCAGCAATGAGGCTGTTAACTAGGGAGCTACCCTACCTCCACACGGTGACATTTGGTATCTTGTTGTGCCCACTCTGTGTCGGGGAGTGTTCTGAGCACTGTGCACACACTTCAGACTACTTGGTGACTCTTATTAACCTGATATTTATAACCTGTGCTTAAACTCATGAGTACACAAAAATATCCTGTATGTACATAACAGGGACTTAAGGAATTATTGGGTCGCCGGTCGTGATGGCACGTGCCTTTGATCCCAGCATTCTGAAAGTAGAGGCAGGAGCATCAGAAGTTTGAGGTCATCCTTGGTTACATATTATATTTGATCTTAGTGTGGGCTACATAAGACCCTACCTCAAAAAAAATGTTCATGGTCAACATGATACATACCTGGATACATACCAAGGCTAACCCAGAATCTGAGAACCTGTCTCAAACAACAACAACAATAAAAAAAAAACAGGAGCTGGAGAAAGGGCTCTATTGAATAAGAGCACTTGCTGGTCTGGGCATGATGATGATGATGAAGAAGATGATGATGATGATGATGATGATGATGATGCACACCTTTAATCCTACCATCCAGGCAACAGAGGCAGATGGATCTCTGTGAGTTCAAGGCTAGCTTGGTCTGCAGAGTGAGTTCCAGGATATCCAGGGCCATGTAGAGAGACTCTGTCTCAAAAAAAACAAAACAAGTCAAAAAGACCACTTACTGCCTAAGCATGAGACCCTGAGTTCAAATCCTCAGCCTCCATGTTAAAAGCCCATCTTGGCCCCGAGGCCCTGTTTGGAACAGAAACAGAATGGCTGGGGTTTGCTGTCTGCCAACCCAGCTTCAGGTTCAGTGCGAGACCCCATCTCCAGGGAAGAAAGTAGACTGATAGAACAAGACACTTCATGTCTTTCTCTGGCCTCCATGGGCTCATGGGCATGTGCGCCTGCGTACATGTATGCATATATCTCACAAACACACAAAGAAAACTGAGAATATGGGAGTGTGTGTGTTTCTGTGTGTTCACACACCATTCTCTGTGTAATGTAGGTAGATGGCATAGCTTGGTTTGGTCATTATTTGTTTCAGGCTCTGTATATGCATGTGTGTGTGCACAGGGATGTGCTTGTATGTATACATACAAATGTCTGGCTCATCTGCCAATAGAGAGTTTAATCCACATTTCTAACTCAAGAACATTTGCTGCCCAGCTGTCTTTCACTGTGACCTAATACCAGAGGTAGTTGACTTTTTAAAAATTTATTTATTTTTATTTTATGTGCATTAGTGTTTTGCTTGCATGTATGTCTGTGTGAGGGTGCCAGATGCCCTGGAACTGGAGTTACAGACAGTTGGGAGCTGCCATGTGGGTGCTGGGAATTGAACCCAGGTCCTCTGGTAGAGCAGTCTTAACCACTAAGCAATCTCTCCAGCCCTGGTAATCGACTTTTAAGGAAAAAAATTTTATTTAGGTCCACAGTTTCAGACCTTGGTCATTTGGCTCTGCTGCTCTGGGCCTGTGCTGGCACAGGATACCGTGGTGGCAGTGTAGCAGCGGAGTCTGGTTCACCTGGTAGTGTCTGGGAGGCAGAGAGAGACAGACATGGAAGGGCTGAGGCTCAATGTCCCTTTCAAGGCCACGCCCTCAATGACCTAACTTCCATTCATTAGGTTCCGCCCCTACAGCAGCAACAACAAACAGAGGCCGGGAGATGGCTAAAAGGTCTGCTACTTTCTAATAGTGCTCTAAGCTGGGGACTAAGTTTTCAACACGTGGGCCTTTGGGAGACTTGAGATCCAAACTCCGGCGGACATGATGATCAGTGGCTATAAACTGTGTTGTATACATCGTGCTGAAGGAAACATCAGCTGTATGTTATAGTCACACCAGAATGACATGAGTTTATTTGGCCATGGCTCACAGATAGGCACTTGGGCCACAAATGGGTGGGTTCCTCCTTTCCCCATGGTGGGGCAGAGGTGACCATGCTTCTCATCCCCAAGTGCCGGCTCTGCACACAGGAGCACTGTGGGAAGCCAAGCATCCTTTACTCTGGGCAGCAGCCCTGGGGAATCAATGTGGCTGACTCCCTCATCCCCACATTTTAGGAAGAAGGAATAAGACTTCCACTGAGGCAGATCAGTTTCTGAAGTAGCCGGCTCAGGACCTGATAGTTCCCGTGGTGCTGTGTGGCCCAGGTGTACCCAGCAGAATTGGTGTGACAAGGGAAGGAAGGTTCCCATTTTGGAAAGCAGAGGTGCTGTGAGAGCCCCGAGTGGGGGCCCCACACCAGCCAGGGCAGCCCAGGTGATCTTCTTAGAGAGTATGGTGGCTGAGCTGAGACCAGAAGGACGAATAGGAACTGGCTGGGATAAAGGGGCAATCTCGTGCAACCCAGTGCCCTGAAAACTGCCCCTTGCTGCCCAGCCTCCTCTGAGCCTTGGGTAGGCCTTTCAGGCTTCTGCAGGCTGTGCTGTAACAGAGAGTGCTGGGCCTTTCTGCAGGTACACAGGTGTGGCAGTTCAACACCTTATTTTCAGCCTGCCGATTGGGCTCCCACCCGCCAAACTGGGCCCTTCACCACGACATTCTGCCTTTTTCCCAGTCTATTTCCGGGCTCTGGTAAATTTTACTCGGTCCATTGAGTACACCCCCCAGCTGGAGGATGCGAACACCAAGGAGTTCCGAGAGGTGTCGGATGCTGTGGTGGAAAAGGTACGCGGGAGAGAGTTACCCGGGGTTGGAGGCTCCCCAGGGGTGGCAGGCAGTCCTGGAGTATGTGGGAGGCATTTGATGGTGGTGTGTCCCTACAGCTGGAGTCAGAGTACTTGAAGATCCCTGGAGACCAGATTGTCAGCGTGGTGTTCATCAAGTGAGATGGGATCCTGGGGATGGGAGTGGCGGGAACAATGGGGGGGGGATGGGAAGGGGCTTGGCTACCAGAGCAGGGCAGGGAGGGTCTGAAGGGATGGGTCATGTTTGGTTTGGGGCTTTGTTTTTACAAGACAGGGTTACTCTGTGTAGCCCTGGCTGCCCTGGAACTCGCTCTGTAGACCAGGCTGGCCTCAAACTCACAGAGATCCTCTTGACTCATCCTCCTGACTCTGCCTCCCGAGTGCTGGGATTAAAGGCGTGTGTCACCATTACCCAGCAGGGATGGGTCATTCTTGACAGGATTTCAGAGAGCATAGATGGGGTATCCTGCACCAGAGATGTCCCTACCCTAGCACAGGCTGCCCAGATACAGGGCTGGACATCATGACAGGAACTTGACAGAGGTATGGCGCTCATAGGCCTCTTTCTCCTTAGGGAGCTGGATGGCTGGGTCTTTGTTGAACTGGATGTGGGCTCCGAAGGGAATTCGGACGGGGCTCAGATTCAGAATGTGCTGTACACAGTGGTCTCCAGAGGCTCCATTGGCCCCTACATCACCTCCCCTTGGGGGTTCAAGTTCCGACGCCTGGGCACAGGTGAGCCTGTCCTCCAAATGGGGGTCACCCCTCCAGTTCTTCAGACTCTGGCTCCTTTTGGTGTCTCTACCTTGTATCTTCTTGACTAGGACTAGCACACCACTGGAGACAGGCTGGGGCTCGGGAGGAACTCACTCCATCCTGAGCCCGAGCCTGCCTGACAGGCTTTGTAAATCTCCATTTGGTTAGAGCCAAGCTGCTCCCTCTGTGGACCCAGGAGGCTATATCCTCCCAGATCTTTGTGTATTAACAGTAGATAAAACTTCTCCTTCATACAGCATTTCTAAGTCAAAAGACACGGGCATTCAGCAAAACCACCATTTGTAGGGCTGGGGAGGTGATTCGGCAGGTGAAGAAGCCATTGCTGCGAGAACATGAGGACTGGGCTTCAGAGCCTTAGCACCCATGTACATACCAGGAGAGCGTGGCGATCCACCTGGAATTCCAGCTGTCTGGAGGCAGAGGCGAGCTCCTCAGAGCAAGCTAGCTAGCTAGACTGCAGAACCAGCAAGCTCTGATTCAAGAGAGAGACCCTGCCACAGTATAAAAGGTGAAGATGGATCAAGAAAGATCACCCATGTCAGTCTCATGCCTCCACACCCACACATATCAATTACATACACGTGCATCTTTATGTTATGCATCTATACATGTGAAGATATATATACACACACACTTTTTTGTACTAAAACCCATCAGTCATTCCCCAAGCACCAAATGAGTACAGGCCCTGTGCCTAAAGCCCTGATACCCAGCATCCACGCAGGCCTCCCGGGCCCCATGAAGTGTTCCTCTTGTATTCAAGATGAGGGAGCTGAGGCTCAGGACGGAAGAACAGCCATGCACACTGATGGGGATGCAAGCCAGATCCCGTGTGTGTGTGCTGCTCTCTCTGGAACCCATGACAGATGGGAAACAAAAGAGAAACCAGCCCAGAGAGGACAGGAAATGGGCCCAAAGTTGTTCTGCATGTAAAACCTACCAGTGCACCCCAAAGTCAAACTTGCTCTGCTGGGTCTTCAGTGAGTTCCCGGGGCGGGAGGCGGCAGCGGCAGGCTCAGCGCGGGCCTCAGTTCCAGCTCCCAGGTGGGATGGTTGCTGACTACAGCTTCCTTTCCAGCACAGACCCCCCCGCCACCCCCAGCTGCTGTGGGGGTCACAGTGACACCAGGTGAGAGTGTGAGCCTGGCCGAGGTCCAGGGGGGTCCTAGAAAGCCTAACAGATGGAGGGAGAAAAGAAGGGCAAAGGCCACATGGCTGCCTCCTCCCACCGTCTCTTTGGCCTCACCGGGCCAGGCTGTAGCCTGCACGCGAACGGCATGGTGGCTGCATGTGTGAGGCATGTCACCCGTGTGAAGGTCCATGTAAGGGGTCCTGCACTGTGTTCCACGTGTGCCATGTGTGTGCTCTTGCTGTCTGCCACAGTGGCCTGACTCAGGGCACCAGAGCCTCTCACAGCCATGCCTTGCCTATGCTGTCTATGTCCGTCACATCACTAGCTTCCTCAGCCGGCTGGCTGCCTGACTCTCTCCTACACTCCCCCCCCCCCCCCCCCCCCCAACAGTGCCCCACCTCCCAAGGGTCTGCACCGAGACGGAGTTTGCTTGCCACAGCCATAATGAGTGTGTGGCTCTGGAGTATCGCTGTGACCGGCGCCCTGACTGCAGGGACATGTCAGATGAGCTCAATTGCGGTGAGAAGCTGTTGGGAACCCCCAAGGGGTCCCTGGTGGCCTGCCCAGGGTGGGGCTACATCTCTGGGTCCTCTGGACTATAAGGGTTTGGTGCAGGCAGAGAGGTCTGGAGAGGGCGGGGATGGGAAAAGAGTGACGGCAGAGGCTAGTCATGGGGTCGGCTCCAGGGAGCATGGGGGCCTGTGGGACGAGGGTGAGAGCCGCCCGTTCACTGAACATCAAGGGGCCCTGTTCACAGAGGAGGCACTCCCGGAGGTCAGCTCCTTGCCACCCGCTATTGTGAAGGTATCACCGTCACCACCGTGGCCAGAGGCGGTTTCAACACCTCCCCCACTGCTAGTCACACATGGACCCCAGTTTCTGTTGCCCGGCGTCGTCTGGCCCACAGCCTGTGGACTCCAGGAGGCCAGGTGCCACAGCGGGCACTGCATCCCCAAAGACTACCTTTGTGACGGGCAGGAAGACTGCAAGGATGGCAGTGACGAGCTGGACTGTGGTGAGTGCTGTGCAGGACAGGAGCGCCGGAACTGGGCCTGCTCAGCGGAGGACCATTGCGACTCCCTGCCTGGTCCCCCACAGGGCCCTCTCCACCCTGCGAACCTAATGAGTTCGCCTGCGGAAACGGACACTGTGCTCTCAAGCTGTGGCGCTGTGATGGGGACTTCGACTGTGAGGACCACACAGATGAGGCTGATTGCCGTGAGTACGCCGGGCCCCACTGTCCCCCTATCCTGTAGTCTGTGTTCTTCTGTCCCGTGCTCTGGGAGGCGGGCTGGCCTTCCTGGTCAGCGAGGGACCCTGCAGACAAACATCGAGGTTCCCGTGTTTGGAACTGCCGTTAGCAGACAGCCTGCTGGCCATGTCGCTCCTGCTCTACTGCATTTGGGTAAACTTCAGTCTTTTCTTTGTTACTGTGCTGGAATTGGTGAGAGGCCTGGATATGCGGATCTCTGTGAAGATGGTGTCCTGGACTGATGTGTGGGTCCCAGCCTAACCCATGGGCTACTCAGTCTATTTTATGTTGTTGTAACAGAATGCCAGAAACAGCTCACTTTATAACCCATTGTATTTGGCTCCGTTTTGGAGGCATTTTGGGTAAAGGCGAAGAAGGCGGTAGCTAAGCCATGTTGCCCTGCGGACACTGCCCTGTGCTCACTCCACCTGGCTTTGTCCTCAGCCATCAAGGAGCATGGGGAAGAATGTGGGCCCACAGAGTTCCGATGCGTCTCCACCAACCGGTGCATCCCGGCCAGCTTCCACTGTGACGAGGAAACCGACTGTCCTGACCGAAGTGATGAGTTTGGCTGCAGTGAGTGAGAAGCCGGGGGTGGGGATGGGGGTGGAGTAGGGATGGCGCTGGGTGGGTTCCACTTTCCATCTGCTTTCTGTTCCCAGTCTCTCTTCTGGCACTTCCTGCCCCAGCTGCCCATTAAACACGCCACTCCTGTTCTGCTGTCTCCAGTGCCTCCCCAGGTGGTGACCCCTCCCCAGCAGTCCATCCAGGCTTCCCGGGGCCAGACAGTGACTTTCACCTGCGTAGCCATTGGTGTCCCCACACCCATCATCAACTGGAGACTCAACTGGGGCCACATCCCTGTTCATCCCAGGTGCAACTCGGGTGGGGGTGATTTGCCTGTGGAAGAGGCTGAGTCTGCGCCTCAAGCCTAACCCACCCCCTGTCTTGGTGTATACCAGGGTGACGATGACCAGCAAGGGAGGGCGTGGCACACTGATCATCCGAGACGTGAAGGAGGCGGACCAGGGCGCCTACACCTGTGAGGCCATGAACGCGCGTGGCATGGTGTTCGGCATTCCAGATGGCGTGCTGGAGCTTGTCCCGCAGCGAGGTGCTGTAGACGGGTGGGTGTAGGGTGGATGACCAGTACCAGTGACCTCCTGCTGGTGACCAACCACAGCCCCTTCACTGCCTTCTGACAGGCCCCTGCCCCGATGGACACTTCTACCTGGAGAACAGTGCCTCCTGCCTGCCCTGCTTCTGCTTTGGTGTGACCAACGTGTGCCAGAGCAGCCGGCGCTTCTGGGACCATATCCGGCTGAGCTTTGACCAGCCCAATAACTTCAAGGGTATGTGGGTGGGTGGGCTCCAGGCTTCTGGGAACCTGGGACAGATGGAGAAGGACCAGGGCCAAAGGGTAGGGAGTAACCCAGAAACACTGAGTTATGTCAGAAAAACCTTTAGGACAAGCCAGATCCGTGTTTGTAGCTTCCCTGCCTTGGGTTGTAGGGAGGACAGACTCTGTAGTCTAGGCCCCATGTCTACACACACACACACACACACACACACACACACACACACACACACACGCGCGCACGCGCACACATGCATACACACATGCACACACACACACTACTAAAAAGAGGGTTGGGGAGATGGCTGAGTCAGAGAAATGCTTGCCACACAAGCATTGAGGACCCAAGTTCGATCCCCAGCACCCATGTGAAAGCCAAGTACAATACTATGAGCCTGAAACTTGAGCCCTGGGGAGGCAGAAACAGAAGGATTCCTAGGACTGCTGGCCAGTCAGTGTAGCAGTCAGGTTCCAGGGCCAGTGAGAAACCCCATCTCAAAAAAACAGATACGGATTTGGGGAGTTCATATATTGGTTAAGCGTGCTTGCTGCTCTTCCAAAGGATGATGGTTCAATTCCCAGCACCCGTTAGGCAGCTCACAAACACCTGTAACTCCAGCTCCAGGGGACCCAACATCCTCTTCTGAATCCTGCTGGCATCTACACCTATTTATGTATGCACATCCCCAAAAACATGCATTTGTAAGATTAAAACAATAAAATAAATCATTTAAAAAAAAATAGGTGGAGGAGCCAAGCATGGCGGTGCCCACCTTTAATCCCAAAACTGGGAGCCAGAGTCAGGCAGATCTCTGTGAGTTTGAGGCTTCCCTCGAGCATGCACCAAAACTTCAGCAGGCAAAATGACTGCAAGGAGCAAAGAACTCATGATTCTTTTGGCGGTGGGGATAGGGGAATTAAGACAGGGTCTTAGGTATCCCAGGCTGGCCTCCAGCTTGAACTCATGCTCCTCCAGGAGTGCTGGGATTACAGGTGTGCGCCATGCCCAGCTCTGCTTGGCTGCTTCCTGACTTCCAGAGAGAGGCCTCTGTGTTCTCTCAATTACCCGTTCCTGGGTCCCAGCTCTCAGGGTGGCTGTTCTCCGCTAATCAGAGGCCGCAGTCTTTACCCTGCTTCTTCCGTTCTTGCAGGTGTGAATGTGACCATGCCCTCGCAGCCCGGTGTGCCACCCCTCTCCTCTACCCAGCTGCAGATTGACCCAGCCCTACAAGAATTCCAGCTGGTCGACCTGTCTCGCCGCTTCCTTGTCCATGACGCTTTCTGGGCCCTACCCAAGCAGTTTCTGGGTAACAAGGTGAGGGCAGGGCCTGCTCATCTCTGCTCACTCTGAAGCAGGCAATATCTCCGCGGGCCGCTCTCCCAACCCCCTTTGGGTCCTCCCCTGACCACCTGCTCTGAGCTGGCTAGAGTGCCCCAAACTGGCCTCCATGGGTACAGTGTTACATACTGCCTGCCATGGACTGGGCTCCCCATGCCTAGTTCTCTATGAGCCTTCCATGCCAGGTACTGTAGGAGCCTTAGATGAGCAGAGAGGGGAACTCGAGGACAGGATGCAGATGCTTAAAAGTGGCTGCCCAGCCCTGACCTAACCTGTCTTGGCCAGGTGGACTCCTATGGTGGCTCCCTGCGCTACAGGGTACGCTATGAGCTGGCACGAGGCATGTTGGAGCCAGTGCAGAAACCAGATGTGATCCTCGTGGGTTCAGGGTACCGCCTCCACTCCCGAGGCCACACACCCACGCATCCCGGAACTCTGAACCAGCGCCAGATCCAGCTCTCTGAGGTTGGTGGCACCTGAGTCCCAGGGGTTGGTCTGAGGGGTTGGGGGGAGGGGATTGGCCAGAGCGGAATGATGCATGCCATGCAGGCACTGATAAGCAAAACGACCTCATCCCCTGCAGGAACACTGGATCCATGAGTCTGGCCGTCCTGTGCAGCGGGCTGAGATGCTGCAGGCACTGGCAGGCCTGGAGGCCATACTGCTCCAGACGGTGTACAACACCAAGATGGCCAGTGTGGGGCTGAGTGACGTCATCATGGACACCACTGTCACCCACAGCACCAGCCACGGCCGTGCTCACAGTGTAGAGGAGTGCAGGTGCCTGCCCACCCCCCCAAGCCCCCCGTGGGGCTGGGGACCGTGGGGCTGGGGACCGTGGGGCTGGGGACCATGGGGCTGGGGACCATGGGGCTGGGGACCGGGGGGCAGGGGGGAGGACTGGGGACCGTGGGAATGCTCTCTGGGGTAGAAGGGAAGCAGCCGAGCCTGTAGTTCCCGCAACCGTCCTCTTGATCCTGTCCCCCACAGATGCCCCATTGGCTATTCTGGTTTGTCTTGCGAGAGCTGCGATGCCCACTTCACCCGGGTGCCTGGCGGGCCCTACCTGGGCACCTGCTCTGGCTGTAACTGCAATGGCCACGCCAGCTCCTGTGACCCTGTCTATGGCCACTGCCTGGTGAGTAGCGGCCACTCGGACATTGGATAGGGGTGGGACTCCCCTGCCTCCACGAGCAGTGCATGACCTCTAGAACAGCTTGCATGGCTCCAGGTGAACGACCATGACCTGGGGATATGTTAACAAGAGAATCAGTGTCTGGACAAGAGCTGAAAGTCTCTCCCCCTCGGCGAGGGCTGGAAGGAGTGTGGCCTAGACATTACACATTCTCTTTGGGAATAGTAATGAGGACTAGGATTGTGGAGCTGATCAAAGAGAATGCACAGACAGGGTACTGTCTTCAGATCCCGGAGCAGCTGTAGGGGTGACCGAATGGATTCTAAGGCAGAACTGGCCCTGGGTGGAGCCTGGAAGAGGGTGACAGGTTTTGAATCCATATCAAGAGGTGCTTGGAACCATACATGGGATTGGCTTCCATGCTGGACTCCCACTGCCAGGGGAAGCACCTGAATGTTGCTATCTACAACGCTGTGGAACATTCTAGAGCCTGTCTGGCCCAGCTCTGCTCAGGAGGACCTAAGCCACCCCCACCCTCTCCTGCCCTAGAATTGCCAACACAACACAGAAGGACCTCAGTGTGACAAGTGCAAGCCTGGCTTCTTTGGGGATGCCACAAAAGCCACAGCCACCGCCTGCCGGCCCTGCCCCTGCCCGTACATCGATGCCTCCCGCAGGTCAGACCCCGCTCAGGATATGGTAGTGTGGCAAGTAGGGGTATGCTTTGTCAGGGGAACCGGGTACCCACATGGGTTCCAGTCCTGACCTGCTCACTGAGTTGTCCCATGCTCTTTGCTCTCTCATGGACCTCATTCTCCCTTTCTGTATAATGGGCCGGTCTCCCATCCTGCAGTTGCTGTGAGGCCACAGAGCGAGAACAGGGGCCAGGAGATGGCATCACACCTCTCTGTGTGTCTGTGAGGATAGAAGCCATCTCCTGGGGCGAGCATGTCAGGCCTGGCACCCAGTCCTACCCTTCTACCCTGCCCACTTGATCCCCACAGATTCTCTCTTACTTGCTTCCTGGACACGGATGGCCAAGCCACCTGCGATGCGTGTGCCCCAGGCTACACTGGCCGTCGTTGTGAAAGGTAAGGAGAGGCTGACAGGGTTGCGGGTGGAGACAGGATGTTCAGGCTGGGTTTGACGGCATTGTTTCCCCCAGCTGTGCCCCTGGGTATGAAGGCAACCCCATCCAGCCAGGAGGGAAGTGCAGGCCCGTCAGTGAGTACTGTGACCGCCTCCTCTCGTACCCTGCTGGGCTGGGCACCTCTCCCCCTTCCCAGCCCACACACAGAATCCCTGGAGAATCACCCAGTCTGCCAATGCTTTCCTTCCGCCTCCAGCCCAGGAACTTGTGCGCTGTGATGAGCGAGGCACCCTGAGTTCCACCACCGGAGAGGCCTGCCGCTGTAAGGTACACGGACTGTTTACTCTCTCTCCAAGACCTTGGGCCCAGCCTCACTGTGGCCAAGGGAGGAAAGAGATCCTACCCTCTTCCGGCACCTTGGCGAGTGGACACTGGCCTTGCCTGAGGCCCAGGGACCTGGCTAGCTGGTCTTCTGTACCGTGTGAGAAGGCCTGGCCTTGGGCAGGAGCACTGATTAAGAAGTCAGCCACCCTGAGTTCAGTCTCCTGCCACACCCTCAGCAGCTGTGGCGCGCATTCTGGCTGTCGCCTGCATCGCTCTGTCAGGTCTCATGCTGCTATCACGTTGATGGGGGGAGAACCCGGGGTCAGCGGAGAAGGGAGCTGGGCGAGCTTTGCAGTCAGGCACCCCCAATCTTGTAACGAAGAGTGGAGAAATGCCCTGAGTGGCCCTGGGTGCTGGTTCATGTCGGAAGCCTCTGAGGCTCTAATGGAAGCTGAGTGAGTGGCTGCAGAGACACTGGCAGGGTGCTTGAAACTCGCCATCTGAAGTTGTAGTGGCAGTTAACTCAACCAGCCTGCTTTGTTCCAAGGCTCACCTATTTGTGAGCCTCTTTGCAGTCAATGAAAAAAAAGGGGAGAGCAGTTTCTGTGAGCACCCATGCACTGGTGGTAGTTGTGCTGACGGTGGTGAGGCCTCACATACGTGTATGTGTTGTCCATGGTGCTCTGGGACCCCCGTCTAGACTGCGGGTGGATTCGGCTTCTAGCTCCAGGCAGCCCCTCCCGTGGGCCAGCCTGCAGCTCCCGACTCCGTGTCCACAGAGCAACGTGGTAGGGCGCTTGTGCAATGAATGCTCGGATGGCTCTTTCCACCTGAGCAAGAAGAACCCGGATGGCTGCCTCAAGTGCTTCTGCATGGGAGTCAGTCACCAATGCAGCAGTTCCACCTGGAGCCGTGCCCAGGTACCCACGAGAGGGCGGCAGCCGGGTGGGGCTGGAGGGACGAAGGGTGGGTCCTACCACCCCGACCACAACGGCCCCACCCCAACGTTCTCCATCTCCAGGTGCTCGGGGCCTCCGAAGAGCCCTCTCAGTTCAGCCTGACGACCGCCGCGGGTACCCACACCACCAACGAGGGTATCTCGTCCCCTGCACCCGGGGAGCTGTTATTCTCCTCCTTCCAGAACCTCCTGTCTAAACCCTACTTCTGGAGCCTTCCTGCCAGCTTCCGAGGAGACAAGGTGGGTGGCACAGAGGAACGAGACAGGCAGGGCATTGAGAGGACGGTAATACCGTGCCTAACTGAGGTCTCCCACTGAGAGCCTGTCTACCCCTGTCCTAGGTGACCTCCTATGGAGGAGAGCTGCACTTCACCATAACCCAGTGGCCCCGGCCCAGCTCTGCACCCCTGCACAGACAGCCGCTGGTGGTGCTGCAGGGCAATGGGATCGTGTTGGAGCACCATGCCTCGTTTGAGCCCAGCCCTGGCCAGCCCGGCAAATTCAGAGTGCCCTTCCGAGAGGTGAGCCCCGTCCCATCCCTTCTTGTTCCTTTCTCTTGGGGCCTCAGTGCCCTAGCCGGACTGGACCATATGTCATTTCCTTGACAGCAAGCATGGCAGCGGCCTGACGGGCATCCAGCCACACGGGAGCACCTGCTGATGGCCCTGGCGGGCATCGATGCCCTCCTCATCCAAGCGTCCTACACCCAGCAACCGGCTGAGAGCAGGTAGCTGGGGCCAGGGCAGGGCAGAGGGGTCTCCAGACTAAGCAGAAACATCGTGTAGCCCCTCACAATCTGCCTGTGGAATGGAAAGCATGCTGCTGCCTCCCTCACAGAATCCTAAGAAGCTGGGGACCACTGTCTCCTGCGTCAGCTTTCCAGAAGTCCCCAGAGGAGCTGGGTGGTGTAGCATGTCCAGGCGAGGAGGGGGAAGAGGGAGGTAACCCTTTGGAGGAAGCAACAGATGTGACCTGTTTGCCACAGCCCATAAGATTGCTGGAGAATGTGGCTGGAAAGGTGGCTCAGAGGTTAAGAGCACTGACTGCTCTTCAGCGGTCCTGAGTTCAATTCCCAGCACCCACATGGAGGCTCACAACCATCTGTAATGAGATCTGGTGCCCTCTTCTGGCCTGCAGTCATACATGCTGTATACATAATAAATAAATAAATCTTTAAAAAAAAAAAAGATTGCTGGCAAATGAAGGCCACATGGTGATGGAACATGGGACTCTAGGTATTTCTAGTGCACAATGCACATCCCTTCACCATGAGTCTTGTCACATCCAGGATCTCTGGCATCAGCATGGACGTGGCTGTGCCGGAGAACACCGGCCAGAACTCAGCATTGGAAGTAGAGCAGTGTGCCTGTCCCCTCGGGTACCGCGGCCCTTCCTGCCAGGTGAGCCAAGCCTGGGCCCCCCCACCTGTCGGTCCCCCCACCTGTCCGCCCAGCTTCCTCCACAGTGCTTGCTGGTCTTTCCTCCTTTGTCTCTCCCCATACGCCCAGCCCCCACCATCTTCTGTTGCCAGGAATGTAGCGCAGGCTACACACGCATGCCCAGCGGCCTCTACCTGGGCACCTGTGAACGTTGCAACTGCCATGGCCACTCCGAGGTCTGTGAGCCCGAGACCGGTGTTTGCCAGGTGAGTCCTGCCCCTCCACTCTCCGTCCTCAGAGAGGCTTGGCCTCCAGGAGCCCAGCCTCAACCTGCCCTCTGTCCCTCCAGAGATGCCAGCACCACACAGTGGGTGTTCGCTGTGAGCAGTGCCAGCCAGGGTACTATGGGGATGCCCATCGGGGCACACCACAGGACTGCCAGCCCTGCCCATGCCATGGAGCCCCTGCTGCTGGCCAGTGAGTATGGACCCTACTCGTGCCTGAAATGCCCACCTTTCCTACCCCCTCTGTGGCCCAGCACTGGGGAGAGGCTACAGTTTTAAATCCTGGTTGTCACTTCTCAGTGTGTCACTGGGGACGGGTAGCCTCACTTTCAAAGCCCCAGTTTCCTAAATGGGGACAGCGGACTCACCTTAGCTTCTGAGCAGAACTGAGTGAGGGGGGGGGGGACTCTTGGCATAGACTTTGCGCGCCTCCCTGGTGTATGAGAGTGCCCAGTAAGAGCAGTCCATGTCTTCCTTTCCCACTCTCTCAGGGCTGCCCACACTTGCTTCTTGGACACCGATGGCCACCCCACCTGTGACTCATGCTCACCGGGCCACAGCGGGCGTCACTGTGAAAGGTGAGATGGGTAGTGGGGAGCGCCAGGGGCCCAGGAGGGTGTACCTGAAAGTCCCCAGTGAGTCCCAGCCCTCCTATTCAAAAGAAGCTGTGACCTCTTCTCTCTGGTGCACAGGCTCTCAAAGGCCATCGGCTTCCCTCTTAGGGAGCCTCACCCTGCAGCCTGGCGTTGGCCTGCTGCCCACCTTCCGGCCCATCCCTGCTCTCACCCAGGCTAGCGTCCTCTGAGTAGACCCTCAGTTTTGTTATTTTGAGACAGAGTTTCATGTAGCCCAGGCTAGCTACAGACTCATTATGTAGCCGTGTATATAGCCCTACCTCCATCTCCTGGAGGTGCTCGTGTGTAGGCTCATACCGCCAGGCCAAACATTAGGCCTCCTGATCTTGACCTTTTGAGTCAAGGCCCGATAAAAGCAACTAACTCACTGGCTGTGGTTCTGGCCCCACCCTCGCTTTCGTCCCCCCCCCCCCACGCTTCATCTATCAAAAGGCTGATGAGTTTTTTTTCCCCTTACAGTGGGGGTCATTGAGTCCAAGCCCAGATCCCCCTTGGGCCTAGGCTCTTCACCAGTTTCCCAGGACTCCGTTTTCTCTCTTTCTGCAGGTGTGCCCCGGGTTACCATGGTAACCCCATTCAGGGCCAGCCATGCCACAGTGAGTACGGTTGCAGACTTGGGAGGTCATGGGGGTTGCTTTTCTTTGCAGGGAGAGCTAGGACAGCGCCTTTGTTTCCCTGGGACCTGGGAGCAGGGCCTTTACCTTTCTGATGCTTGGCTTCTCCATCTGCCGCATGGGGTCGGGAAAAGGCGCTGCCCACAGCCTCGGTAGCAGGCAGCGGTCCTCTCGGTGCTGAGTGACAGGCTTAGGGAGCGGCAGAGGTGGGGGTGTTGGGTGAAGGGTTTGCGGGTGTCACCTGTGCCTTCTTTCTACTTCAGGAAATGATCAGGTGCCAGAGGGGCCAGGCTGCGGCTGTGACCCCCATGGCAGTGTCAGCGGTCACTGTGACGCCTCCGGTCAGTGCCATTGCAAGGTCAGAACGAAGTCCTGCCTTCCGTGAGGTCTAGCTCAGTCCGCCACTGGGGCTGAATAGAAGTCAGATGGTACCTGAGGGGATCCTCAGGCCTGGTCATGGGGTGGGTAGGCAGGGCTGCTCACAACTGCTGCAAGTGTCTGGGAGGCCTGGCCTCAGAGGCTTCTGGAGCCCAGCAGACACCCCCGAGTCCCTTCACACATCTTTGTGTCTATCTCCCCCAGGCCCAGGTAGAAGGCCTTACCTGCAGCCAATGCCGACCCCACCACTTCCACCTGAGTGCCAGCAACCCACAAGGCTGCCTGCCCTGTTTCTGCATGGGTGTCACCCAGCAGTGTGCCAGCTCCTCTTACTCACGCCACCAGGTAAGAGCTAGTCTGCCCCTGATGGTCGGGAGCACTGTCTTTGCTGGGTGCTAGCCTCCTTGGAGGATGCCCCCATCTCTAGGCCTCCGTTATTGCTCCTCTATCACTGAGCCCAGTGACTTGACTCCTGTCCCAAGGCCACCTGGGCCTCTGTTATTGCTCATCTCGGCACTGAGCATACCCTTCATCTAGCCCCGATATCCACCCGCACCATTGTGTCTCGCTCAGCCCTGGTCTCAGCAAGCCCTATGTCCTCCCCAGCACCCTTCTGTGCCCTGTCCACCCTGATGCGTCTGACCCGTCGCCGCTCTGACACTTGTTTTTCCACCTGCTGCCAGATCTCCACCCACTTTGCCCCTGGGGACTTCCAAGGCTTTGCTCTGGTGAACCCGCAGCGCAATAGTCAGCTCACGGGAGGCTTCACCGTGGAATCGGTACACGGTGGGCACCAGCTCTCCTTCGGCAACTTTGCCCACCTTGGCCAAGAGTCCTTCTACTGGCAGCTTCCAGAAACATACCAGGGAGACAAGGTAAGATATAAGTTAAGTGGTGCCCGCAGCACCTCCTCAGGAGCTGGCTCTGAGCCAGGTCCTTGCTGAACATGGGGTCAGCAGGGACTCAGACATGAGTTCAAGGCCTGCCATGTGACTGCCATGTCATGCCGTGTGTGGCCTTTGGGGTCCAGAAGACCTCAGATTACATCTCAGCTGTGCTGTCCACTAGCTGGACACCTGACCTCCCCAGCCCAGGGTGGCTGGAAGGATTGTGCCCGACGCATACTGGGCAGTCAGCTGGTAATGACTGTGCTTTCAGGCCAGGCTGCAACTTGTGCATGGTGCGACAGTTTCAGTGTGGATTCCCCCATGCGCTCGTCTGTGCTGGGTGTTGCAGGCTGAGTGCTGGGTGCTGGCATGGTGATTCTCGGGTCGTGTCTATTGAGCTCTGACTGCACACGCGTGTAGTCAGAATGATTGCACGAACCAGCCAGCCTCACTGCCATTTCCCTGCACAGGAAAGTAAAGCTAGAGAGGTCAAGAACTTTACCTGCGTCCCACAGCTAGTGGGCAGTAGTACCAGGGTTTGCATCCAGGTCAGACCTGCCCTGAAAAGGCTGAGTTAGGCAAGGGAAAGCCATCATTTTGACTCTGAAGTGAGATCTGCTAGGAAGACAACGCCATCCAGGATGGTCTTGTGACGGGCAGCGTCCGAGAGGTGAACTCCAGGGGACTGGAGAGACGGCTCAGCGGTTAAGAGCACTGGCTGCTCTCCCAGAGGACCTGGGTTCAGTCTCAACACCCACATGGCAGCTCACAACTGTCTGAAACTCCAGTTCCAGGGGATCCGACATAGACAAACATGTAGGCAAAACACTAATGCACAAGAATAAAAATAGTAAATAAAAGGAGAACTCCAGAGCAGCCACATGTGGTCCTCAGTCATGGCCACGGTACCAGGACCAGTGGGACTGACTTAGTACGTGAGTCCCCCCACCAGCTGAGGCCAGTACCTAATCAGCTACACCCTGGTCCACTCAGCACTGGAGCTTTGAGGCCTTCTGGTCCCTGCTCCTTGGAGAGAAAGAGGCCCCACCTCTGTCCAACCCGGCCGCCTTCTCCTGCATTCTCCCCCTTGGTTCCTTCTTCCCTGGCCTCCCTCAGACCTTTCTCTGTCTCCTCCCCTGGTGCCTCTTGGTGCCCCACAGAGGGAGGCTCACTTGGCACGGCTGCGCCGGGCTCACCAGGTATGCCCCTGTGGCGTGCTGTGGGATGGGGATGCTGCACATGGTGTGTCCGTGGCTGCCCTCAGCCCTGCATGGGAGACGCCCTGTACCCATGGACGCCCTGCCTGAACCAGGACTGTTGCTAGGAGAGTCTGGAGGGGCGTGCGTGTTCTGTGCTGTGCCCCACCCGCTGTGTGGCGTGTTTCCGGTGCCAATGGTTGGAGGTCTGCGGACAGGAAAACTAACTTGACGTTAATCCGTGTGACCGTGCCTGGTTCCCCTGTTTCTCCACCTATTTCCCCAACCACCATTAACCTCTGTGCATGTGCCCTTCTAGGAGCCTGGAGTAACCCTGTGTGCCAGCCCTGAGATAGGGCATGCCTCCCTAACCAGTCACTATGGCCTGCCTTGCTGGTACCATGTATGGGGAAAGGGCTGTCCATGGCTCCAAGTCTGAGCCCTGAGGGGGCTGAGCTGGCCTGTGACTTCTACCCCGTTAGAACCGTACATCCCTCTCAGAGGAACAGTGGCGGGCAGCAGTGACAACTGGGAGGATCCTTGGGGACCCAGAGGGCAGGGGCCGGGCACAGCGGGCATCACAGGTAACCTAGGGCATGGGCAGGCTGTGTCTGGGTAGGGATCAGACCTTGAACCAAAACCCAGACTTGCCTGGGCCACCTCTGCGCACTCCGCCTGTCCAGGCCAGCATAATCCAGAGTTCTACACGCTCCTCAGGACAGCTTCTCTAGTGCTGGTGTGGGCACCTGTCCCCTCCTCCCCACACACATGGCTGTCAGCCTCGACTGCACAGAACGTTCTGTCCTTCCCTCGCGGGGCACCCTGGGCAGGGTTCCTCCCCAGCAGACCCATCCCACGCTCAGCATTCATCCAGGGATGCTCTGCCTTAGGAGTGAGAAGGCGAAGGACACACGGAGAGGGTGGCAGACATCAGCACAGGCGCATAGGTGGCCCACGTCGGGGACTGGATGGGGCTGGTGCAACCTGGGGCAGAGCAGAACTCCACGGGTGTCTTTTTGCCCATCTATTCTTGTTGTCTATCCTTCCTTCCCCCAGGTGGATGAGGCTCAGAGGCGGGTGGATGCTGAGATCTGGCAGCTCCTTGCCAGTTTTGCTGCCCATCCCCAAGCCCCTCCTCGTGGCCTGCACCCCCACCCCCAGCTAACTGCCGCTCTACGAGCGGGTCCCCCCTCATCTTCCTCTTCCTCTTCCTCTTCCTCTTCCTCCTCCTCCTCCTCCTCCTCCTCCTCCTCCACTTCTCTGTCTTCCTCAGCGGACTCTCAGGTATGTAGAGGTCCTCACTGAGGGACGCCTACCATGCTTCCTAGACTCGGGTCCTTTCCAAACCAGTGTGATATTTCTTGAGACGCCCTGGACCCTCATCGACTCTGATGTCACTGTAACTCCCCCACATATCAAGTCAAGTATAGTTATGCTTATGTTTAAGATGGGGTCTCACAATGACCCTGGCCTGACCGCAGAATCCTTGTCTTAGCCTCTCAAGTGCTGGGATAATAACCATGTCTGCCTGTTACTTTTTTTTTTATTTGAGATAAGGTCTCCCCTATATAGACCATGTTGGTCTTGAACTTGTATCCATCCTCCTGTCTCTGTCTCCCAAATGTTGAGATTAAAGGCATATACTACCATATGTCCAACTACTTTTTATTTTTATTATTTTGAGACAATCCCCTGTAGCCCAGGCTGGCCACTTTATAGCCAAGGATGACCTTGAACTCCTGATCTTCCTGCCTGTACCTCCTGAATCCTGGGATAATGAATAGGTGCTGCTACGCCATTTATCCTATATTTAAGATGGAACCCAGGGCTTCATGCAAGTTAGGTAAACAACTACCAACTGAGCTACATTGTATTTGGTTTTTGTTTTGTTTTGTTTTGTTTTCTGGCTGCATTTCCCTTTCTTTCTTTCTTTTTTCTTTTTTTCTTTATTTTTTTTAGATAGACTTTCACATGCCAGGCAGTGGTGACACACACCTTTAATCCCAGCATTTGGGAGGCAGAGGCAGGCGGATCTCTGTGAGTTCCAGGCCAGCCTGGTCTACAGAGTAAATTCCAGGACAGTCAGGGCTACACAGAGAAACCCTATCCCCAAGGAGGGGGGGGGAGGATCTCACTGTATAGCTGTGGCTATCCTGAAACTCACTGTCTAGACCAGGCTGTCCTCAAACTCAAAGAGACTTACCTAACCTACTTCTGCCTCCGAATGCTAGGACTAAAGGTATGTACCACCACATTCAGCTCTGTCTACATTTTTTAATATATGTAAAAAAAAAAAAAGAGCCACTCAATTTTTAAGTGTTTACAGTGTGCCCCATTGATCTTGGGGTCCACAAGAAGGACACAGCACATGTGAGGCACAACAGATCAAGAACATGCTTAGGAAGAACAGGTAGAGGACCTGGCCCCAGAGGCGTAAGCCGGGTGTCCAGGAAGCATGGTGGGCCTGTGCTGTGGGGTTGGGGGTCCTGGGTCCCCGCTGGGGCTCCTGTGCCCGTTCTTACCTTCTGCTCTTCTGCTGTAGTTCTCACTCTCCTACGAGGGCTTCTCTCTGCTGCCCGGAAGCCTCTATTACTGGCAGCTGCCTCGAGCCTTCCTAGGGAACAAGGTAACCACGAAGTAGAAGAGTCCTAGGTGGTCAGGGGGTCCTTAGCTACCAGAGGATGGGAGGCAGAGTAGCCCTCTCTCCCTGTGCCCAGTGTGCACACAATTAGGCACTTGTTGTATGCTGTATTGCCACTGCAGAAGCAAGCTGGCCTCCCAGAACTCTCCACTATTCTCATTTACCTCTCCTGCATTCTGGATGTCGCTATCTCTCTCTGTCTCTGTCTCTCTTTCTTTCAGTGTGTGTGTGTGTGTGTGTGTGTGTGTGTGTGTGTGTGTGTGTGTGTGTACACACGCTTACATGTGCACATGAGCCTTTGGAGGCCAGAAGACAGCTTCAGGTGTCATTTTTCAAAAAGTACCATCCACCTTGTTTTTTGAGACAAGGTCTCTCATTGGCCTGGAGCTCACCCAGCAGGCTGGCCGGCCACGGAGTGTTTGGGATCAGCTTTTCTCTGTCTCACGGTGTTGTAAGGGCCCCATCCTTGCACAATAAACAATTTACCAACTGAGCCATCTCCAGCCCTGAGTGCTGTTACTACTACCCTGGCATGAGCATCCGTGTTGACCCTGCTTCCACCTTGCCTCCTTGTCCCCATGTGACAGAGAGAGCCTCTTCAGAGTGGATGTACCAAGGGGTGGGGGCTTTGGCTCAGGGGTAGAGCTCTTAAGGCCCAGGTCTGGTCTCCAGCAGGGAGGGGAGGGGGCATAGTGTGAATAACACATGTAAAACACATGCATTCAGAGGCCAGGCTAGGCCAGGCAGGTCCAGGGGATGTGAGGAGAGGAGAGTCTACCAGGGTTTGGGTTGGGACCAGAAGTAGTGGCGAGCTGTTGGCCTTCAAGCGTGTTCTGTGCACTGAGATGAGCGTGTCCCTCAGATGAAGCGTGTCCCTCAGATGAAGCGTGTCCCTCAGATGAGGTCTAAGATGAGGACTTAGACCTTGTGGCTTGTCCACAGCTGTAAGACAGCAGAGCCGGAGTCTGAGCCCAGGCTTTCACACTGCCGCCCTTGTCTTACATCCCTGTGTGGCACACGCCTTCCACTTCCTAGAAAGCTGGTCCCAGATGAGACTCTGAACTCCCTGGCCTCCAGAACAAACAGGAAACCGGTTGTTTCCCTTGTAATCTGGTCACGCTGAGTTCCTTACCACACCCTGAGTTGATAAAGAATATAGCCCTGGGGCCTGTGTCACCCAGGGCCTGGCATGTCATCAGCTGAGGTTTGATAAATGGTCACCCACTGAATGAACACACTTGAAGCAGAGGGGACCCCCCCCCCCCGGACCCCCGTGCTGGGTAGTTTTCAGCCAACTGTCTGCTTTGGTGATGGAGGAGAGGGAGGAAAGTCCAATGGGCAGAGCTGGGACCTCAGCTGCCAGGATGAAGGCCCTTTGCAACAAACCTAATCCTTCTAGTCAGGCCTACAAAGACACTAGTCCAGTTGGCTTGCCCACAATAAAAAACAAAAACAATAAGCAGAATGGCTCATGCAACCACAGAGTCTAAGAGTGAATGCTGAATCCAGGTGCTCATTAGGGCTTTTTCTCAGTTGGTGTTATTCTGTAGCTTCTGGTCGCAAGGGAGATGGGAATTTCTCTGTCCCAAAAGAAAGAGGAGTGCCCCATGCACCGGTCATTCCCAAGCCGGGGAAAGGTGCACATGGCCACATGGCATTTAGTCACAATACAAATGACCCTACCCCATCTATCTTCCTGATCCAGAATTGTGTTGGTTGGGCAGGCCTGGCTTGCTCCACTTTGCAGGTGGGAGGGACCTGAGTGTACAGGGAGATCGTTTTTTAAAGAAAAAAAAGGAGGGGGCTGGAGAGATGGCTCAACTGTTAAGAGCACTGACTGCTCTTCCAGAGGACCCAGGTTCAATTCCCAGTACCCACATGGTGGTTTACAACCCTCTGTAACTCCAGTGCCAGGTGATCTCCAGTGCCAGGGATCCAGTGCCTCTTCTGACCTCCACAGGCTCCCATATACTCAGGGATCGTTGTATTCGCGTGCATACATTCAGGCACTTACACGCACATAAAATAAAGTAAATACTTTAAAAGACACACAGGGGCTGGAGAGATGGCTCAGAGGTTAAGAGCACTGACTGCTCTTGCAGAGATCCTGAGTTCAATTCCCAGCAGCCACATGGTGGTTCACAACCATCTGTAATGAGATCTGGCGCCCCCTTCTGGCCTGCAGACATGCAGGCAGAACACTGTATACTTAATAAATAAATAAATCTTTAAAAAAAAAAAATAAATAAAATAAATAAAAGACACAGAGAGAGAAGGACCAAAGATGTAGTTTACAGAGGAAAGGAAGTGAATTCTAGGCAGGCTCAAAGCCAGTGGCCAGAAGACGAAGCCGCAGAGCCCTGGCAGCTCCATGCCCTGGGCTGAAGCTTCTGATCTTGGCAGCCTCCTCACAGGAGTCTCTGTTGTTGCTCCTGTTATCTTCTGGGAAATGCCTCCACATGAAAAGGGACTAGGAGCTTGTTGACTGTGACTTCCAGGCAGTGGAGAATGGGACAGAAGTCCTCCCGTGAGTGAGGCTAGGGAGGAACTGATAGAGAGGGCCCGTTGCCCAGCTCTCTGTTGCAAGTTCTGGCCTCCTGAGGTTTAGGGTGCAAACAGACAGGAGCCAAGAGGTTCCGCCTCTCACCCGTTGTGATCTTGTCTCTCCTCAGGTGTCGGCCTATGGCGGGAAGCTACGCTACACCCTCTCCTACGTCTCGGGGCCACATGGCAGCCCGCTCTCAGACCCCGACATCCAGATCACGGTGAGCTCATTAGAATCCACAGTGGTCAGACAGAAGATAGAAGCCATGTTCCCAACACCCAGCTAGCCACATGTGGGCCCTTTGCCCCTACTTGGCTGGCTTCCCCTCAGATCTTAGGCTGGTTGCTGGGCGTGGGAGTAGCGGGCAGGCACATGAGCTTTGGGGTATGGATAGATGGGAGGCAAGTAATCGGAGAGCCTGGGGTTTGTGGATACCCCTGCCTCCAATAGCCCTAAATGCCCTTCCTAACCTTTCTGATACTTCTGCAGGGTAATAACATCATGCTGGTGGCCTCCCAGCCAGCACCACATGGCCCAGAGAGAAGGAGTTATGAGATCATCTTCCGAGAGGTAGGAGGCACTGGGCTTTGCTCTCCCACCCTCCCCCTGGCAAAGTGTATGCAGGGCTATAAGTGCCGCAGACCAAGCCCAGAGCTCCCACTGACGCTTGCTCTCCTCACTACCACAGGAGTTCTGGCAGCGAGCAGACGGACTGCCTGCTACCCGTGAGCACTTGCTTATGGCCCTGGCGGATCTTGATGAACTTCTGATTCGGGCCACCTTCTCCTCAGTGCCACGGGCAGCCAGCATCAGCGCTGTGAGCCTAGAAGTGGCCCATGCAGGGCCCTCTGGGGGACCCCGAGCCCTCGAGGTGGAAGAATGCCTCTGCCCCCCAGGCTATATTGGGTTGTCCTGTCAGGTAAGTGCGTGGCTGGCCTAGCTGCATTTGCTCCAAATGGTGTGGTAAGTGCAAGGTAATTGTTAGTAACCATTGCTGTAGGCTGTGACTGCTCTCTGAGCGAGGTGACTGCTGCTCCCTCAATAGCCAAGCCATTCCTTTAACTGACAAAAGCCAACTGTCCAAGGGATAGATGGGTGCCTTACCCAAGGGCGTACAGCCAACATGCAGAGAACTAAGCTGAACCTGGATCTGATGTCCTAACCACCAGACAGCACTACCTAAGGAATGGCACACTCTCAGATGGGGAGACCTGTCCAAACACAGAAGACTCTCAGAGCTGAACAAGGACACGCCTCAGGAGCACAGCATGGAGTGGGTGACACTGTAGACTTAAGGGATGACCAGCTTGGAAGGAGGCACACACGGGGACCAGGCCTGCAGCGGGGTCACTGTGGCCAGCCTAGAAGGGGGGCCCAAGGGGTCCACAGACTGGCCATGGAATGTGGAGAGGAGGCCCTTGGCAGCTTTCACAGAAGGGCCAGGGGAGAGGACTGCCCTTTACACCTGTGATCCTTCATCTCCACTTTGCACCAACATCTGTGATGCTATGTGCTACTTCTCTTGCTACGCTTGCTTGATTTTGGTTTTGGTTTGGTTTGGTTTGATTTGAATTTTCAAGGAAGGAGCTTACGCAACTCAGGCTGGCTTTGAGATTATATATATATATGTTGAACATCAGTTCCTAGCCTTGAACATCAGCATCCTCCTGCCACTACTCCCAAAGTGCTGGGATTATAGATGTGTACCACTAGGCCTATAGCAGGATTACTAACCGGTGCATGCGACCCCAGTAATAAAGATTGGCAGGATGGCTTAGGTGGTTAAGGCACTTACAACAGTGACCTCAGTTCATTCCCCAGGATCCACAGGTGGGAGGAGAACTGACTCCTGCAGCTTGTCCTCTGACCTCCGTATATGTGCTGTGGCACACACACACACACACACACACACACACACACACACACACACA